CCCAGCATTTTTTCGTTTTAGTGTTCTCTAAACACGTGTCGCTTTGAGATAGTTGGGACGAGCCTTGACAAAAATATGTTTTTATTTATTATTAAGTGCAGTCAACTAAAGTAAAATTTTGAACTTTACACAATTATACCTGTAATAGATTTTGAAAAATAGGTATGTTGAATAATTTTGAGTTCTAAATTTTATATTTTTATATGAATATTAAATTTTTTATATTTATAACCATTTATTTGTTCTTGTTTAATACAAATTGTAAAGAATTTTGCATTTTTTTAATAATGATAAGAAATATTTTCATTATTTACATTATTTATATCAATATTGAAAGACTATTTAATTAAATAATTGCATAATTATAATATATATACATATCAATATAAAATGTAATGATTATAAAAATTGAACCTCCGAAGTATCAAGCCACCATGATGCATCAACCTGGTATACATTTTCCATTTGCAATGAAATTACGTTATTATGTAATTACGCAAACCAATTATACGTAATAATTTATCGAAAATATTGCTTTACCTCTAAATCAGATAGTGTAACCATGGATTATTAAAAGTTTATACATGTTACTTTGGTTATATTGACATTTTCGAGAAAAATTTAAAATATCAGTGTAGTGAGTTATACCGACATTTTATATTTAAATTTTTGAAAAAAATGTTAATATAGAAAAATTTTACTATGATGTAAAGATAGGCAATGTAATAATAAAGTAATAGTTACTTATTTTTTACCCCCTTACTTATTGTTATGAATTATTATGTATTGTAAAGATTACAGAGTGATTATTACTTAATATATAACAATAATCTAATAATTATTAATTGATAAATATCAACTTTTTTTTAATATACTGTTATGCTTAACAGTAGTTAATAATATATATTTATATTTTCTCTATGTTGAATTGGCCTTTTCCAAATCTGAAAATACAATATTTATTGCGCAAGCTTCCAAAAGGATCTGCTGATTACCTACTAAGTCCCCTTTGGCAAGCCTTTAACCCAGTTAAAACCTATAATGATAAAAAACCTAAAGCTAACTGTATGTTTTGCAATCCTGAAAAGCCTATATCCAGTACTGCAGCAGTGATGCTTTCACATATTTAGATATTCAAACTTACCTTATTAATGCTCACAATTTTTAACAAAAATCGAATCAGTCTATGTATGATATGCAAGATGTTTGCTCAAATTGTAGCTTTATTTTAGATCTTTCTAAATATAGTAATAAGAAATTTTTTCAAGATGCTAATCAAATATTTACGCAATTACCAATTGATGCATGCAAATCGAATCAACTACTATTAGAGGCTATTATAGAAGGTGGTGCACCTCTTTTATTTGTAGAAGCATGCAAATTTCAAGAATTTGTTTATTCTATAAATCATTGGTATCATGTTCTAGTGAGAAAGCAGCTCTCTAATAGTGTTCTTGATAATGTTTATGAAAATGTTCAAGCCTCAATTCAACAATTTATTTGTAAATCAAACTGGATTACTATTACAACAGATGGATAGACAAATATTTAACAAGATCATCTTGTAAACTTTGTTGCTATTGAAAAAAACTGAAAATCAGAATTAGTTAAAATTAAAGATACATTAGATGAAAATCAAACATCAATTGTTATACTTAAAGATTTGGAGAAAGTTTTAACTCAAATCAGTATTGAAAAAATTAATACTGTTATTACAGATGGAGCTGCTAACTATGTTTGTATGAAAACTATGCTTAAACAAAAATATTCTAAAATTATACCTCTACCATGTATTGCACATGAATCTAATCTTCTAGTTGGTGATATATTAAAACATACATATATAAAATCAACTATAAGTTTAACTATTAAAATTGTAGTATTTTTTTGAAGAAGCATACAAGCTATTCAATATATTTAAGCTCATTTATCTGATAATATATTTAGATTTACTTTTCCAACTTTCACACAATGGAATTCATTTTTTACTTCCTTGCAACAATTGCAAAACAAGAAACAGTATTTAAAAGATATAGCATATAAAATGGAATCACAAATTGACAAGTCAATTATATCAATACTTAAAAGCAATGAATTTTGGAATCACTTAAGAATTATTATTCATATCTTAAAACCTTATTCTCTTACTTCTATTATTTTAGAATTACAGCATACTACACTTGCTGATGCAGTATATTTATAGTTCAAACACAAATGAATACCAATATAATTGATGATAATAATTTTCAGTCTTATATTAATACCTGTATTCAACATAGATAGGATAGAATGTATAGTCCTATTTTACTTGTCTGTTGGTCACTTCATCCAAAGTATGTTCTTGCAAAGGCTATTCGTCCAGAACTTACTACAATTATAAAAAAAGAAACAAGTCTTTTATTTGAATGCTTATTTCCAGACAAAGATATTAAAAAATTTTGAATACAATTAATTGACTGGAATAATAAAGCCTATCCTTTTGATTTCGAAGGCAATTGGAATGATTACTTGATTAATAATTCAGTATATTTTTGGAATAATTTTCAAATTGAAGTTCCAGAATTGTCAATTTTTGCTGTCTGTATAATGTCTACCGTATATTGCCGAAAATAAACTACCTTTTTTTGGCCAAAAAAGTGACACAAAAATCCCGGGGTAGCTTATTTTCAGGTAAAATTTCAAAAAGGTTGATTATTATTTCTTTAAAATCTGGAGGTAGTTTCTATATATAAAAGTCAAATTCTACTAAGTAAATTGATGCAAGTCACTTAATAGCGGTTGTTCAGGACATAAAAATACACATATCCTGAAAGTTTGAAGCAAATCAGAGAGCTTTTTACTAAGATGTTTTTGCATTTTACGTTTGAATATAAAATGCAAAAACATCTTAGTAAAAGTTTTCCAATTTGCTTAAAACTTTCATAATATGTGTATTTTTACGTCCTGAACAAT